GGATGCACGACAAGGTCCGGTTAGCCCTGCCAACCATGACCTCGCATTGTCGGCCCATGTTCATCTTGGAGTCAATAATGACACCAAGATCCCTTTCCGCCTCCGTGCTCTCAAGTAGGGAGCTCCCCATCTTATAAGTGTGCTGCTGGTTCCTACTACCCAAGTGCAGCACCCTGCACTTGTCCGTATTGAAACGCATCCTGTTCCTGTCTGCCCACCCCTGTAACCTATCCAGATCCTTCTGCAATCTCTCTCTCCCTGCTAGCGTGCTCACCTCCCCCCAAATTTTGGTGTCATCAGCGAATTTAAACAGGTTGCTCTCCACCCCAACATCAAGATCGCTGATGAAGACATTGAACAGCGCAGGGCCCAGGACCGAGCCCTGAGGGACTCCACTACCCACCTCCCCCCAAGTCGAATATGATCCATCCACCACCACCCTCTGAGTGCGACCCTTCAGCCAATCTGCAATCCATCTGACTGTATAGGCATCTATGCCACAGTCGCCTAGTTTACTAATTAGGATGGGGTGAGAGACGGTGTCAAAGGCCTTGCTGAAGTCCAGAAAGACTACATCCACCGCGACACCTGCATCCATGGCCTTTGTGACCTGATCATAAAAGGCAATCAGGTTGGTCTGACATGATCTCCCCCTAATAAATCCATGCTGATTGCCCCTTATGATCAGGGGCAAAAACTGATCATAAGGGGCATCATAAATCAAAGTTTTAAACTGTTTTAAAACTTAAACACTGTTACTTACGTGTGAAGTTCTCTCCCCCTCAACCTTCCTTTCTTGTGCAACGGCATAAGAAATGATAGAAAGGAACCCTACTGTTGGTTCATCCATTATGCTGTTTGATCAAATAACTCAGGGCACCGTGACACATGATTCAGCAAATATTTTTAGTATAAAAAGTGTCCTGCTGTTTAACTGCTCCAAGCTTTAGAAGTTGAGTAGAAATTTCCTGTATCTGTGGATAGACTACAGAACACAGCTGGCACCATTTTTACATGAATGTTGCAAGAAGTCTGTGTGCACCACCCTCATAACCAGGGAATAATTATTTACCCTGCAAATATTCAGCTGTTTTCAACTCAAGTTATTTCCCAAAGTTAGGTACCAGTATATGTAAGGGTGATAGGATACAGTGTCTTATGTGATTCCAGTTTCATCAGCCCTCACTTCAGCATGCATCACTCTGCTAATGCGAATCACATTAACAATAACCATGTTTACATGTACAGTTAATTTGAAGTAGACCTACTGGGGAGCACATCTACACATGTTCCCTCTTGGGAGCAGATTTGCTCCCAATGGGAACAGCCCAGAGAGCCCAGAGTTAATTTGCTACCCAGCAGGTAGCAAATTAACCACAGAGTAGACCAATTTACTGTGCAGTAAGCATCTGTACATGTAGACAGTGATGCTCACTGAGCATTAAATTGGTCTACTGTGCAGTAAAACATCTCATGTAGACATGCCCAGTGAAAATGATTTAAGTATGAAGTAGGCCTGGGTTTAAAATATTATGGGCTAGATTTTGATATGAAGTTCTCAGTGGTAGCGGAGGACAGAACAAGGAGTAATGGCCTCAATTTGCAGCAAGGGAAGTTTAGGTTAGATATTAAGAAGAATTTTCTCACTAGGAGGGCAGTAAAACACTGGAACAGGTTACCCAGAGAGCTTGTGGAATCTCCATCCTGGGAGCAGGGGGTTGGACTAGATGACCCCCTTAGGTCCTTCCAACCCTAATTTTCTATGATTCCATGACTTACTCAGATCTGGAGGAAAGTAATGGGACGGAGAATGTCTGTCTGCAAGGGCTACCCAGACTTCATATGCGGGCAAGAAGAGGGATTCATAGCTGTACTGTGGGTAAAGAGAGTCAGGTGGTAAAATGCATTAACCAGCAGTAAGCCTGGGGCAGAAGTGTCACAACTTACTTCTGGCATAAACTGGGAGTAAATTATTGTCCCCAAATAGACAAAGAGTAAGTAGGGAGCAGTTTTGTTTCACTCAGGTGTCTGAGCAATCCTGCAACTAATACACTATACTTCATGTAGTACAGTCTAGTCCTAAGGCATTGGAACAGAAACACTACAATGTCATTTCTCTTCCTCAAAATAGATATGATAATTGTATTAAAAATGTTAAAATGATGCCTTAGGCTGATGACATTAACAGATGTGGATGCTCTACTTTTCAGTGTTTTTGTTTCTTTTTTCTCTAGGTTGGAAATATAAGTTCTTTTAATTAATTTCAGGAGGTGGCTAATAATGGAAACTACTTTCTTATTCTGAAAGAGAAACAGTCCCTGCAGAGAGGCAACTGAGTGCATAAATTCTGAGCCCTTCTGAACAGATGGAAGGATGAATGATAAGAGAAATAGTTTTACTATGGGCAAATCTATCCCAATTAAAGTCAGCTGAAATGTTGTCACTGAGTGCAGCAGAATCAGAATATGGTTCTATACGACTGATCTCTGAATTCAGCATCCCCTTGAACATGACAATGCCAATCACCATGTTTTTCATAAAAATCAAAGCAGTTTTCAGTATTATGGAGACTATCATCACAATATTAGTAATATTGGAGTATTTAATTTTCCAGAGAGGTGGATGGGTCAACTGTGGAACAAACACAGTATCATACTTTATGTCTTTAAAAATAATATGCATAATAGAAAAGGCAACATAAAGAATGCTATAAATTTAAATATTTCTGTAGGAACCAGTCTGTAATAATGAACAGCAGAAGATTCAGTCTTGCATATCTGCAGAAATATTGCCTCAATACATGTGCAAAATACATTAGAAAATCCTGACTGGCAGCAATAAAGGGATAAAAGCAAAGTGAACAAAAATAGACTCCATCAGAAGGAACAAAGAAAAAACAAGTGAAAAAACCAGAAGGATTTATTTAAAAGGTTGAAGATATTAGAAGTGTTGAACTGCAATGTACCTCTGAAGATTTAAAAAACCTGAAAGTTTTAAAAACCATTTTAAGGTTTTTTTCAAATTACTTTTCAAAATTATTCCTATGAAGGTTGTATTAGAAAAAAATATAGAGGTTATAAGCATCCATACTTACTATAAACTACTTTGGCTGAAAACAGATGTTGCCTTTGTGCTGCCATTAAAATACTGTGTCACAAAGCCCAAGCAAACAGACATCCATGCCACTTGTCACAGCACAAATGCCCAAAATCATGGCTGCAATTTTTTGTGGTAATAATTTGTATCACTTTTTATGGTAGGCATCTAGTTTGCTAATGGTGGGAAAGTGTGGGCAGCCCAGAGCTTCTTGAGCTCTCCACGTGCCCCGGGCTTCAGAGGCCTGATCCTGTGCACCTTACGGCTACCCCTGCAAGAATTTAAAGAAACCTAAACATTATGAAGAATGCTTCTATCCCTAGCCTCCAGTTCTTGCAATGCAGTTGGTTTTGTAATCCCCTTGTCATTTTTAGGGCAAATTCAATTCTGTCTTAGCCCCTGTTTAATACAAAAATCTCAGCAACGGTCTGCTGGATTTTAAAAAGTGGTATTCAGAAATCAGAGGCATTTCTCTACTAGATTGCATAGAAGTCTTAAGGGAAGTCAAATAATGACTTTACACTTTTTGCCAATTCCCCCATAGGGTATAAAAAGATGCCATCCTTGAAGTAGAATCTTAGAAGCAGAATCAGCTGTGTTGGGATGTGTCCTGGCAGAGCTGATCCACTTCACTGGGTGACACAGATATTTGCCCATTGTCTCCCATGTAGGTACTTGAGGCACACTTCTGCAATCAGGGGAACCTGGATCAGTGAGGGGTCTGAACCTGCAAAAGTCCTGTGTAACTATTAATGAAGGTACTGTAGGCTTTTCTTTTGAATAGCAGTGTTTGTCACAATATACATCAGGGTATATGTGTTGTGGCTTGACCAATGACTGATATGGCTCCTAGGTCAGTCAGGACTGACTGTCACTGGGTTAGTAGCAGATTATTTCTCCAGGAGGTTGGGAGCATTAGGAAGAATTGTAGCATTTCCTGGGGTGCTTGTAAGTCCTACAAATCTAGCCCTTTTTTTAGTAGAGTATTCACAAAAAGTAGCTTGCTGCTTTTTCCATTTGTCTTTGCAATATCAATTAACTAATTAGATGACCACCAAAGACAAAACTATCTTAAATTAAGTGACAATGAGGGTGATCAAACAAGAATCCTGTTAAATTTCCATTGGAAGAAAGGACAAAAACATTTATCTGGAAAAGTGACAAAACTGATGGGACATGCACAGAAAAACTATAGAAGCTGCTGATTTTTTTTTCTCCTCCTTTGTAAAGAACAGCTTTTAAAAAATGAAGCATTCTTGTGACACATCATTTTGTACATGCACTGTGGTCTGATTATGTTCTTCCTTTAATCTTTAAACAAATTGTGTAAAAATTTTGGGGATTGTTAATTTTAAAGTCAAATTTTGGCCTCAGTGCAATGGATGTGATTTTGGAGCAATGTTATTTGAGTGAATGAAGTTGTTTAGTAATTGCACTAAGTGTAACTGAGATTCACATCAGGCCTATTATTGTCAATAGTCATTAAAAATTATTAACCAACTGTATAATGCAATGAATTCTAGAGTTTATTGTACAAGAAATCTACAAACTAAGAATAAGGGACTACATATAAAGTTGCATCTATTTATCAGAAAGTAACCTAAATTGTTTTGGAACCTATGGCAGTATATTAGGAATGAGTGAGAGAACTTTGCTGTGATGTGAGTTGAAGTCTTTAATGAACAATGAAAACACTCACTGAAGGTAAAATCGTGCTAAGTCATGCTTCTGGAGAACTAGAAGCATTACGAACAAGAGACTAACTTCTATGATGATCTTTTAAAGTACAACCCAACACAACACAATGTATCCAGGGACACCAATGCTTAATGTTGCATTAAGAAACTCAGCTCTAAATTTGATCACATAGACAAACAGTATATAGAAATATGAAGAAGGCTTACCTGGTCCAATGCAAAATGATGCAATTATTGCAAGAATGCAAGCTATACTGAGGAAAGGAAGCCAGGATACATGATACTGCAAAACACAATATTACTTGTGTCAATATGATGAGAATACAATATGCTTTCCATGATTCTTTCTATAATCTAAGAAAAGCTTTTCTTAGAAACAACCATTTCCAAAATATTTTATTGAACAATTGGTATTAAAATGTGTATCCATGCAGTACAGTGCCAGGTCTTCTGTATTATAGCAGCTACAAATATTGAATTTCTTCTTATACAGAAATTCAGCTAAGATGTGCAGGAGAGTTCTCTTTCACTGCACAGATTCTGAGACACGGCTACCACATTCATGAAAGTCAGCATGGTTGCTTTTTTTTAAATTTCAAAGTATAATATGAAAGGATGGCATAATGTAAACGCATGATAATCAGGGATTGATGCTTGGTTCCCAAAGATATTGGGGTTTGTTGAGCTTGACAAAGTGTGTGGTGGTTTTAGCTGAGTAGGTTGGGTTTTTCAGCTACACCCTGATATCACTGAAAAACAACTTAATTGCTCTGACTGCAGTCAATGAGTGTGTTATATGCAAAGAACTGTTGAAGGATACTATTCCTGTCTGTATTAAAACAAATAATGCATTTCAATAAATATGAATAAAATACATTTGCCACATAGCCTTTTATTTTTAAAATTTGTGTTCACTAACTCACAGAGCATATGATAAAATGTTACGGGTTATGGCACTAATGTGAACCAACAGAGCTGTAATTTCTATCAAGAAACAACTAATGTTGCTCAATGGAAAGGGTCCAACCATGTGATCTGCTTCACATTCACAGGCCAAGTTTTCCACAGAGGAAGTGCTTTAGGAACTTGCTGTCAGCACTTGCTACCAAGGGGAGCTGGAGATTGCTGCTGGCAGAGGCTGTCACCCTTCCAACCTGCCCATTGTCCCCCTCAGCTCTGCTGCTAATGAGAAGTGAGCTGTGGGCTCATCTGCTGAGCCCCCTGGCTGAAGGGGCTGCGTCCCAAAAACTTGAACAGAGCAGGGAAGCCCAGCGCAAAGGGGATGGTACTTTTTTATAAGTGTTTTTTCCTCTCTCATCTTGATTCCCACCCCCTCTCCTCCCCTCCTCCCCAGATTAGCACTGGGAAGAAGAACTAGCTTTGAAGGGTGGTTGGGGAAAGGGATGAGGAGTGGTGAATCATCATGGAATCTGCAGAAGCACCCTAGAATCATAAAAGTAGGGCTGGAAGAGACCTTCAGAGATCATCTAGTCAACCCCCTGCCGGAGGCAGGTCCACCCCTATCCAAGCCATCCTATACATATTAATTGCCTAACTTATTAGTAAAATTACATGGTCAATCCTGACACATTGGTAAGACATAACACCTTAACCTGCCAGATGTAAGGCAGAGGGATGGACCACGGTGGCCACTGCCCTTCTGCTGTGAGGGCTGTTAAAATACACTCAAGAGATCCAAGGAAAAGGACTGCAACCCTGCTACAGAGAAAGGCAAAAACCCTCACGGTCTCTACCAACCCGACCATGGGATAAAATCTGTTCCTGACCCCAAATGCAGCACTCAGCCCTTCAGATACTTGAAGATTACTATCGTGTTCCCACTTAAGCACCTTTTCTTCAAGCTGAGCGTGCTTCCTTCAACCTCTCTTCCTGTGATTTGCCTTCCAAGCCCTTTATTATTTTTGTCACCCGCCTCTGCATCTTATCTTCTCCATGTCCCTTTTAAAATGTAGAGCCTAAAACTGCACACAATACCCTAGAAGAGGCCTAAGAGGCACTGCATAAAGATGAGCTATCAGTTTCCATATCTTGCATCTAATGCTTCTTCTGATACAGCTCTAAACTGCATTAGCTTTTCGCACAGCTATGTCGCATTGCAAACTCATGTTGAGTTTGTGATCCACCAAGACATCCAGCTCCTTCTCCAAAGTGCTGCTATCCAGCCAAGTTTCACCCATTTTGTATTTGTGTTTTTCATTATTCTTCCTGAGATGTAGCACCTTGCATTTGTCAGCACTGAGCTTCATCCTGGTACCTCCAGCTCACTTTTTCAATATGTCAAGAACTTTCTGAATTGCGCCCCTGTCCTCCAGTGTGTTTGCAAGCTCTGGGGCAGCAGAGTTCAGCATGAGTCACAGGGTGACCCCTGGCAGGAAGGGGACGGTGGTGGAGAGAACAGTCCACCTTGGCCTACCCAGTCCCAATCAGAAGATCAGGACAGTTCATCCCCTGAGGCTGCCTGGAAAAGGGCACCACCTGCAGTGCACCTGAAGACAGCTGGTCTTAGTAGGACAATCTTGGTGGTCAATCCCCCGAGGCCATAGCCATCAGGCCCCACCTACTCCAGCCTTAAAAGCTAGGCCCAGCTTGCAGTACTCTGTCTGGGCAAAAGCTCCTGACTGCTTTCTTGCTTTATTTCTGGGATCTCGGGCCCTGACTCTTGTTTACTCTAACCTGCCTTTGGCTCCTGATTCCAGTTCTGACTCCTGTTATACTCTGACTTCAGCCCTGAATCTTGGCATATCCTAACTACAGCTCTGGCTCTGGCATGTCCAAACTTGATTCTGGCTCCTGGCTTATCCTGACATCGGCTGCAGCTCTCTGGCTCCCTGGGAACCTGGCTCTTGGACTTCCCCTGTATATCAGGTGACCTTTCCCAACTGCCTACACCCTGGCTCTGAATAGACTTGGCCAAACACTATCACCCTGTGTGTAACATGCCAAACACTCAAATGAAAGAGTAATACAAACAAGCTGCAAAGATATTCTACATTTAACAAGTAGTATTTCTGAGCTTGGATCACCATTTTTGTGGCTTATCAGGTGATAAATTCTTTGAGCATGTATTATGTGACAGTTTATTGCTCCATTAACACATTAACCACGTTTAAATACAATGCCTGCCAAGGGCATCAAAAAGGAACCTAAGCTGTGAAGTTTGGACCTTAGTCCAATTCCAAAGTCCTCAGCACATTTTACAGGAAAAAAAGAGCTCAAATTCAAACTTGTTAACTTCCTCTAAATTTAAGTCTGCTTGTAGCCTGGAGTCATGGTTCAGGTCAAATTTAAAGGCAAAGGAATGTCACTGATTTATAAGAGCTAGCCTAATTATTATCAAAGTCACAATATGTAGTAAAGAAATTGGAAGACAACTTTTCAATCTATATTTCAATATATAACAACATTTGCTATAGTCTTACATAGTTAGGTGTCTTAAATTTGCCATGACAACAAAGTCTGTAAAGTACCATTTTATGGTACGACACAAACTTGACTATAATAATGGGGCTATAAAATGACACAGTGCATTTACATACTATGCAAATAAACTCTCTTCAACCTCACTAAAAATTAAAAACTTGTATTAATAGTGGGGCTCATTTTAGATACGTTAGCAAAGACAGAAATATCTCAACTTAGTCAGAAAAAAAAATTGCCTGAAGTCTGTCAGAACTCTACTTGTCAAAATCCTGACAAGCTTCAAGAACAAGAGAAAACTGTACATGATTATTCATCCACAGGAAGATAAACAAGGCAGCCATTAAACTGACTTCAGCTAAGTGCTAGGATTTGTTTAATAATTTTTTTCTGACATAGTCACTTGTGAAGTCATTGCTAACAATATGTCTCAAAGCCAGGTTCTGCCATTCAACAAATAATGAATGTTCATATAATGAGTAAAAATATCAGAATTGAATTTCAAAGTTTCAGTGGTACTGGAATGTTTTCTCTCCTGGGTTTTTTCCTTATAATTTTGCTCATTTCATGTTTCCAGAAAAAGAAACAAAAACATCACCAGTGAACAGAAGGCTCAGACAGAATGAAAGTAATTGCAAAAAAAACAAAAGCACAAAGGCATAAAGCATGGAATATAGCAAAGTGGGCCAACCTTTTTGGCAGACACACCACAAATTAGTCCTGTGCCCTCCCTGCATGCCAGTCTGATCCCCTTCTCCTGCCCAATCTGCTATTTTGATCGTTGCTCCCTGTCCTATGCCCCCTGCTTCCACTGCTGCTCTGTTTACTGTTCCTTGCCCTATCCCCTCCCCAGTCTGATGTATGCCCCACACACAGGCTGCTGTGCCACTTGTGGAAAGCATGCTGCAGGTTGGCAACCCTTGGAATATAGCCCTGCTAAGCAGTGGGTAAAGATAACTTCACAGAGGTATTTGATTCCCTGAATGCCTGGACCTCATTGGTCAGAGCTGAATGAGACAACCTTTTAGGCCCAATTATGACGACTAGCAATCACACATTGAAAAAAGGCTTGGAACTAAACAGAAGACAGAACTTCAAATCCCCATTTCAGGATAAAAGGTCATTTAATAAAAAATTGTGGAGGCCTGTGAAAATGAGCTGAAACCAAGTAGTGATAAGCATGTGACTTCAAAAAAAAATTGAGACACTATTTATGTGGTGAATATACTGTACCTGTAAAGTCAAAGATGTTGTAAGTACAGCAAAGAAAACAACCATCAAACCGAAACCTCCGATGAGAAGAGGTCTACGTCCAAGTCGTTCAATAACTAAGCCCTGAGGAGGAAGAAATAACATTATACTTCCTTGAAGAACCAATATACAGCTTTGATAACAATAAATTCTTATGGTGAATAACTTTAGTGTAATGAGTGCAATGTAAAATGTATAAACAGTAACACCTAACTTTATTTTCTTAGTTCTCATCTACTATCTGTTTGTAATTAGAGTCCAACTGCCCAACTTTATATATTTTGAAAACTAGGTAAGTAAATATTTAGCACTGTTAACTGAAGACAGAGCCACAGGTGTAACTAACCTCTTTTTATGCTTGGTAGAGAGCAGCAATAGAAATATGCATGTGTGCGCATGTGTTTACATGGTGGGTGGCGGCAGGGAATGCTGAGCACATGGGTCAGACGGCTTACCTGGCCTGGTGGCAGCTTCTGTTGCCACTGCATGGTCCACCCACCCTAGCTTGTTGCTGTTGCTGCTTTGGCACAGGCTCCCTAGGGAGTTGCCATTCTGGCATCCCCTCTAAGTTTGTGCCTAGAGCTGGTACCCTGCTCACCCACCCCTAGTTATATTGCATGACAGAGCTAATTTGTAACATTTGGGTAAACTGATTTTCCGCCTCACAGAACAATAAGGAAATTATAGATGAAAAAAGGTTAAATTCACGATGATTGTTTTAAAGCACAATGTTATAGTTTTTTTCCATTAATATGGTGAGTGCACAAGTTAGTATTGTGTTTAACTTCTGACATAACAACTTAATAAAAATGAGTATACTTTATGGGTAAGCTTACAGCAACTTTTGCAACAGTTTCACATTATTAAAAAAAAATCAGGATATTTTTCTGCTACAAAGGAATGAAGAAAGCCCTAAAAAGGCTCGATACAAAAAGTATTAGATTTTCCTAGATTCAGGTATTTTAAATAGACAAATGATATACATTTTGCATCAGATAGATAAGAACATCTAGTGTGTCATTCTTATCAATAATTACTGTAATTACTAATTACAATTACTTTCTTGTGCAGAAGGGATAAAACAGTTATTTGAAGTCTAAGAAGTATGTTTCAAATAACTGCTTCCAATTAAATGTCTGCCACGCAGATAATTACTTTAGGCTAAAAGACTGTTTTCAAGCATCACCCAAGCAGAAGGCGATACGAATCCTAGCTTCACTCTATTAGCATTGGCAGATGGCATGGATGCTCCCTGATCCACTGGCAGGCATGAAGCCTTTAGGCATGAAGGAAGAGGAAATCTCTTGTGCAGTGGTGTCAGGAGTCAGGGCAGCAGGCTAGCTAAATTGCCACCAGCTGGCTCTGGTTAGGTGAGTGGGCCTGTCTGCCAGCAGCATACTTCTAGCTGGCCTATTTGCTCGCATGAGCAGGGTTGCCGGTTTATAAGCAGCGATTCTTACAGTGCTCAAAATGGTCCTCAACAGGAATGATGTCTACCTTGGTTCCCAGTTCCCATCTCAACCCCTTTG